TCAATTCTCCCAGATATTTGTTAATTCAACAATAAAACAGAAATTCACAACAAATAAGAAATCAGACAGAAAAACTGTTAGAAGCAAGGGATACATTTGATATTTTAGACTCTTCACAGAGGGCATTGTTTCCTTTTGTTTCTGTTAAGTCTTCTGTCTTCACAGGGTGACTAAAATGTAGAGTGAGGTCACAAAGCAGTAACTGGGAGTGCTCTGTGTGAAACGAAACAGAAGATACTATACTGTAGCACATATGTCATAAACAAATACTATAGCTTTAAGTAGCTATTTCCTAATTCCTAGTTTAGTTTTTCCAAGTGATTATTGATCAAACCACAACATAAGTGTACCCCATTTTGACTTAAAATCAGATTTATGTACTACAAAGTATGACATAAAAATTTACTAGAAGGTCTCTTAAGCCCAACTACTCAGCTATCTTTCCAAACTGCAACTTGATTTATGCAAATGATAACTTTTAAACTTATTTTTATCTAAGTTACAGCATGCACATAGTATTTAATATAATTAGACACGTCTATGAGGCATATTACAAAAAATTCAATGTCTCCTGCAATTCCTGTCTCCTAGAGGCAATCACTTTCAACCTGTTTTTAGCTCACTTTGTTTCTCTTGCTTTTGTTATTTTGTGTGTGTCTGTGTGGTGTTTTTTTCTTGGGGGGGGTGCTGGTATTCACTGCCATATCTCTAAATGACATGTTTATTTGATTCTTTTTTCAATTTTTCGTATTATCTGCTTCTGGCAACAAAAGATTAAGATACAACTCTTTCACTCATCCCCTATTCCCTCAATATACTTAGAGAAGTTTTGCTAGCTCAATATTTAACATTTAAATGTTAATTATATAAATACTCTTCACAGTAGAGTCTTTCAGTATATTTCCCTTCCTGCAAGCTACCCCCCAACCACAGTTAATAATTGCTTTTTCCCCCCATTGCTTGATTATCAGGAATATATCCCAAGTGTCCCCCAGTTGAGAAAATCTCTTGGTATAGTTAAAGCCTTAGCTATTCTATTGTTGAATGTCTCTCCTCTTCTTGGGCCTTCTAATTTGCTTTAATCTGGACTGACTGCTCATTAGGATTGCTGTACAGATCGTGTGTTAGGAACGCCCTTCACCATTATCCTAGGGGCTCCTTTCACCCCTGCTTTCTGTGGAGTGCCCTTATACCAGAATTCCTGTGTCTTTTGCTTTTTGATTTTTCTTGTTTGGTGGAATATGGCCTTAGTAACTTTCCGAGGGAGTAAAATTACATGTCTGAAAATTTCTCTCTCTATACTAATGCCCAACCGGTAGGTTGACCAGCTATAGAAATCTGGGTTGGAAACCATATTTCTTCAGATTTCCAAGGCATCACTGCATTGTCTTCTAAGCTTCTGGTGTTGCTACTGAGAATTTTCACATGATTCTAATTCTTAATCTTTGTTGTTTTCTCTTCAGAAGCTTTACAGATCCTTTTGTTCTCTCAGTATTCTGAAATTTCACAATATTGTGACTTGGTATGGGTCTATTTTCATCCATTGTATTTGGCTCTTTTGCTGTAGAAAATCCTGTCCATCAGCTCTAGGACATTTTCTCAGATCATTTCTTTCATGAATTCCTCCTCATCCATTGTCTATATTCTCTTTTTCTAACACTCTCATTTATTGGTTGGACTTCCTTCACTTATCTTGTAATCTCCTCACCCCCAACACTTTACATCTCTGTTGTTTTGCTCTATACTCTAGGGGTATTTCTTCATTTTATCCATTTTATCTTTTAACTCTTCTCTTGAGTTGTTCATTTCTACTAGCACACTTTTAATTTCCAAGAGCTTCCTCTTGCTCTCGAAATACATTTTTTTTTTTTTTTACAGTATCCTGTTCCTTTTTCATGGATACAACATCTTCTCTTTATCTCTGTGGATGTTAATGGTAATTTCTTGAAGTTTTCATCTCCCTTCATTATTTCCGTTTCTTCCTTATTGATTGCATCCATTTGTCTGTCTCTGCTTTTCATATTATATGCATTCCTCAAATATTTGTTGTGTCATAGTTGTTTGTTCATATTTAAGACTGTTACACTAAAAAGACAATTGGAAGCCCTACGCCTATGGTAGTCAATACTGTCTCTGGGTTATTTTGTTGGGAGAACCTCTGCTATAAGTATCTTTAGGTCTTTTCTCTTAGGCTGGTCAGATTCCTGAAAGAAAAATCTGCTTGGGGGGTAATAAATCTGGCCGCCAGTGTTTTGGTAGCCACATGAGGAAAAAAAGCCAGAGGTGTTGTAATTTAGTACGTAAACTGGTTTTCATATTCTTGTTTTCAGTACAGTACTCTCCCTCAACTTGTGGCTAGCAGCTCCAGGCCAGAGATCCCTTGTTTTAACCCTGAGTCTTCTGTCACAGAGAAGGGATAGGCTGCCTAGCTCTGTGGAGGGCAGAAGAGACCTCAGGGATCTATAACACTTTAAACATTTAACTAGTCCTCCTGCTATTAGCCCCACTTCACCACCACTTCCAGACCATTCTGGTGCCACCATGTCTTGAGTCGTAGGGGCTATTTGTTGGCTTTACGCCACCAGGTTAGGGTTCAGATTTTGGGATTTTAGGGTTCAGACTTGTCTATTTGCTTCCATTTGCTTTCTGTTTTATTGTTATCTCTTCTTGGGAACTCTTTACCTTGTGGATTTTTGTCTCTTTAAAATCACTTAAATTTAAATGTCAGGCTTACCATTGACTAGAGTTGCTTGATAATGAGAAAGTTAATCTCTCTTTTCACATCTGTAAGGGCCAATAGTAACAGTTCCTACCTTGTAGAATTATTACGACAATTGAGTTAGTTCATTTATATAGAGCTCTTAGAAGAGTGCCTGGATTATAGTTAAGTGCTGTGTTAGCTGCTGACATTATTATTTGGCAGAGGAAATGAGGGTACATGGAATGTTCAGTCAGTCCTGTATGTTTACCAGAAGTCTATCCTCCTAGTTTAGCTTGACAGGTCCCTTATATCCTAACTGCCTGACTTACCCACACAACTTCTCAGGAACACATCTATCATATTTATTATTTCTATTTTACTTCATGAAGGAATACTTACCAAAGTAGAACAATTATATCATCAAATGTGGGAAGGATCTAAAGCTTCTCTAATTGTTTTAAATGGGTTCAAGCATCCAGAACCATTTATTCATTTAATAAACATTTTCCAAGAATTCATCAAGGCACTATGTTAAGTTCTAGAATATCCTCAAGGAGCTTAGAGTTGACCAGGGATAGGAAAAGTAAGTCAATATGCAATTATAAAATAGTGTGTTAAGTCATAGGAAAAGGTAGCAGGTATAACATGCTGGCTCAAAAAAAGTTTTCCAATGTTAAGTGACTTCGACTAAGTAGCAGTTAACCTGGTGTGGTGGAGGTGGGGTACAGCCATGGGATTTCAGAAAGAGATGTATGTGTTAAGGCACAGATATAAAAGAGAGCAAATAGTTTAGTATGGCTGGCGCATAGAACATGCAGGGAAG